AAATTTTGTGACGCAAAATTCAGTCACAAAAAGCAGTCACTAATTAACTGTTTTCTTGTAGTGTAAATCAATCTCTCTAGCTTCAATTGTTCATGAATCCAATACATGATCAAAGAACATCTCAAACAAACCCTTAGCCCCTTTGATCAGGATCTCTTACAAGACACCCTAAACCCCTTTTTGCTAAAAACTCTTTGAATTACATGGGTTCACGCCTACAAACGCCGTGATTCACTATGTATACACAACATGACGTCACTATTGTGGCTAAACCTAGCATTGGCTCCAAGTTGAGTTGACATTAAATCTTTAGCAATATCACCTCTTTCCTTATTCCTAGGCAAGACATAAGGAAATCCTCAATGCTCATTGATCCTCTCCATGATCCTTCTTCCAACTCAGCTACAACTTATGGTACGTCCATATTAGCTTGAATAGCTTGGTCCAAATCCATCTCTTCAAGCCCATTTTGTTGATGCTTTTGAGTCCGCTTGTATCACTTATTGTAACTGCTTCAACAACAAACTACTTACTTCATATTTCAAATGCGTTATCATCCACTTTTCAACTCCGTAGATTGAACAACTATATCAGCTCATATTGAATTCTAAAACTCATTCAAACATACACTTCATAATAACCCCAAAAAAAACTATAACCTAAATTTTCCTCTTTTTCTCACTCTACCTCTTCGTATCTCTCTTTAACCAATTGGTTAAATACATTATAGTTTTTCTTTTTTTTTATTATTAGCCAAATTAACCCATTTATCATCATGACCTATCCTTTGATAATTGACTTATAGGAACAAAAAACAAATCGATATCACGTTAGTAGTGGACAAACGAGATTGTCGTATGCAATACTGCAGAAACAGGACATGAACTATAGCTGAAAAAAAAAAAAGACAATCCCGTCTCAGTTAGGTTTTGCTATTTGTATTACTTACAACTGAAATATACAATAGTTTCTTAGAATATTTGCATTTAGTAAATATTTTCACATCGTTAAACTTTCTATTTTTGAATATTTTTTATAAATCGTGAAGGCTAAACATAAACGTGATTCCTCTTCATTTCCATTTAAAACTTACAAAAAAAAAATGTAACCTAATTTTGAAAGAAACACAGTAGTATATCATATAAACGTTGCAAACACACTAGTATATCATATAAACTTATGTTTGTCTCATCTGGGACAGTATTATATATAATTTTATATGACTAAACACTATATGATTATAATATCAAAATAAAAAAATATATTACAAAGTTAGGTAGAAATAGACAAAAATAAAGAGTCTTAGTTTTCTGGAATTTGATATAGGTTTTATACTTTTATTCGATATTATGTACATAATATTAATTTTTTTGCCACAAAACATTGAAATGGTTTTCCCCGTCCATGTCGAGAGTGTCAATTCTTAAATGATATTTTCATCAAGACTGAACCGGAAATTTTGGGAATGAAACTGGAGCGAGACTGAATGGAAAGCAACGGGTGATGACTTCTGTCCACTCTCATCATGATATTTTTATTTGTCAATCTTTTTTTCCCAATAAATTTAGTATATTGTCAAATAGAGTTTGGTATCCAGTCAAATTAAAGATATAATAGTATCATATGTACTGAAGGAGAGGGCTTATTTAGCGATCTTTTCCGCGACTTGGTTCTCTTAACATGATCAGAACCAAAGAAGAAGATATGTATGTTCAACTCCTTGGAATGTCTTAAAATTTTGTGCGACCATTATTAATAACTTCAAATAGAGTCTCATTGGTTAAGACTGTATTTTAAGTAATAGTTGTAGAATTAATGTTGTAGGTTTCTTTTACAAAATTCTGATTAGTTAATATTTTTAGTGAATTCGGCCAAGATGAATCAATGAAGAACACATAAACTATAAGAGATTCAGTGAAAATATCATCAGAGCCAGATCTGAGATTCTCGGGGTCTCATACGATAAAAACAATTAACAATTAATTTAAATATTTTTTAAAAAAATCTGATTTCTTTTAAACAAAAATATATGCACGTCTACTTATTTGAATCAAATTATGAAAAAACATACTCAAAAATTTTACTTTTTTATTATATAGTCTCATAAAATAATAGATTTCACAAAAATATTTTTTACTATCTCACTTAATCTTCATTTTTTCCAT